CACAGGAAAAATTGTGACAAGAAAGGCATGATAGGAGGATATAGGAAATGTGAATAGGCCAGGGCAGAAGGGGAGATGCCACAACTGTTTGGCACACGTTTGGTCAAAGGATGGGCTTCACTTGTCTATTTGACGAGTTGTTGTATGGTGCAACGAATGGTAAAACTCACTGAAGATGCCGGCGAAACGTCTGGGAATGTACCACGTCCACATTCCGACTTTGGAAATGATCATGCTCCAAAGTCGGACTGTGGACGTGGTACATTCCCAGACAGGTCCACGGTCCGAATTTGGAAATGATTATACGTACAATGGACTCCGGACTAGGTGCGTTCCTCTAAGTCTTCCTACCAATATGACCATGTTGCGAAAACAAGTACAATGGACCCCTGACTAGGTGCGTTCCAATAAGTCTTCCTACCAATATGACCATGTTGCGAAAACAAGGTCAATGGACTCAGGACAAGGTGCGTTTCTATCAGTCTTCCTACCATTATGACCAAGTTGCGAAAACAAGGTCAAACGATGCCAGCGAAACGTCTGGGAATGTACCACGTCCACGCTCCTACTCTGAAAATGATGATGCATACTATACTCAGGACAAGGTGCGTTTCTCTAAGTCTTCCTACCAATATGACCAAGTTGCGAAAACAAGGTCAAACAATTACTTGACTTAGATCACCCATTCCTTCTACAGAAGAAGCCAAAAGTTCTGTAACGAAGGCCAACAGAGCAGGATGGAGATGGGAATTGACGTCGGCCAGCTCGTTAGCGACTATACAATAGGGCTTCATAGTGTCGAGGTTTAGCTCAAAGTCAACACGTTTAGTATGAAAGATATAACGGAGGAAGCGGAAAACAGCAAAAGCAACGGGACGACAGGAAAGGCAGGCGAGGAGGCCAGGCAAGTCTCTGAATGCGCGCAAGCTGATTCCACTGCCAGTCATGTTGTTCCACTAGTAAAGGGAATATAATATAGCAAATAAATAAAAGTGGAAAAATGTAATTGGCTATTAACAATGAAAAAACGACATAAAAAGGACAAAAGTGTGAAGACTATGTTAGGTCTAAGCAAGGTTAAATTATAAACATGTAGTAACAGAAGTTAGT